CGCACGCCTGCTTCCGCGCGACACATACCCACAAAAGGCCGGCAGGCTGTCCTGTTTGCACACGGTAGAGTATAACGCTGTGTATCTAAGCTGGTATCATACTTGGAAAGCGGAATCACGTAGATGCGTACCCCCCGGCGCTGGCAGCTGTAGCGAATGTGGAAAAAGGCCCGCCGAGTTTTTCAGATACGAGCCCGATTCTTGCCCTACGTTTACTTCTCACCCGGGCCAGCAGCAGACTAAAGATCTTCTACCACCCTTATATGTGTCTGCATGCGGGAAACTCATGGGAGTCAGCCTGGACACCCCAGTAGCCCAGATAGTACGTCAGTGGTCTCGGTGGCCGACGGCCGCACAGTATGCGTCCAACGAAGACCGCGGAGACCGTCAACAACTGCACCTCCGCACCATCAACAGCTTCGCCGGCATACGCGCTGGCGTGCTCAATTACGCTGAAGCATGCTGGGTACTGCAGGCGAATTTTAGCACTCTTGCTCATAGATGCGATACAGAAGAAAAGTTTCGTAGAAAATGAGAAATACCAGCTAAAACAGAAAGAGGAAAAACATGCCTTGGTATATCGTGAAGAAACAGAGCACTTCTGAAAAATCCCACGCATGAATCTCGCCGCGTGACGTGAAAGAAAGCAGAAGCTACGTAGAGAAGGCGCCGCCTCCTTTCTTGTGGTACGTCGCAGCCGAATACCGCTTAACGTCAGGCTTGGTGTCGCGAATGTTAACGCGCGCTTGCGGGTCGATGCTGCTTGGCTCTACCAAGTCCGCATACGTCATGAAGGAAGATTAACTGAGTGTCGCGGGCATCGACTCTACAGCATTCGCATACAGCTGCACGTGAAGTCGTGCGTTTGCCCATCTCCAGGCTGTTGACACATACCAGGAAAAGAGCCCTCATGACAGAGAGCCGCCCCGTACCTCATGGCTCTTTCATGTGGAACTGACGAGGGACGTGGCCGGCGACTTGCAAACCGCTGTGCGCGTGCGCATCCTCACGTACAGCCGCGAATTCACCCCAAATGTGAAAGCGGCCACCGATTCAGATGGGCGTGCGCAGCCGCATCCGAGACGTATCAGCATGCCTTAACGTGGTTACACACGTGTCTGCAAACGAGTACCGGATCTAGCTGCGCGCGCCCTACTATATGGTGTCTACACCTGCTGGATCGGCGCAGCCTCGCGGAGAAGCTCGTCACCAACCAGTGCGAGAACGCGCCGTGACAAAACGCGCGCAGCTGAAAGAAGTTGCTGTACACGGGAGCATTTTTTAGCAGAAGCCGGTGCCAAACGTGCCCCTACTGCGCTCCGGGGCTGTAATTTACCTGCGGGGTGACAACGCACTGGCTAGCGCATGAGGCTTCTGCGGGGCCCCCTCATAACCTAGCAAGCGACTCGACTACACTGCAGAAAATCACGACAAATAGGCCGTAGACGCCCTCTTTTGAGCCGCTTCATACGCATGAGTGTGGACATAGGCGTTCTTCACAGCCGTCCAACTGGATGCGCGCCATGCCTTGGAACAACCAAATGGGTGTGCAGCCATCGGCGCCCGGGGCGTCGAGCTTCGTGAGGAAGGGGGGTACGAAACCTATATAAATTATGTAAGCCATTAACGCTACTCACTACGATCGCCCAAAGTTCCACACGCCGGCAAATGCGTGTCTGCAGTCCCGGTCACACATCCGTATATAATGTACGGCAGGCACAGAATTCCGCTGTATGTACCGGTGGCAGAAAAGCGTTAACGCGTGAAGGTGTCCTAGTCCGCGATTACCTTTACGCTCCAGCATGACAATGCTAAAAACCAACGCATAGTCCTTCGCGCAAGCGCGAGCACGTATGACTCACGCGTACTAGCAGCTGTCGCAGGGACACTGTCTGTGAAAGCAAAGCTCTGCGCCTTCGTGTCGCGCGGTGCCCGCCTGCTGCTCTACTACTTCCCGCTTGCTGTCATCTTCCGCATTTGGCATCCGTATCCAGTACGCCCAGGTTGTATGTGAAGCCACCTTTCCTTGGCGCAAGTAGAGGTGACTACGCTGAAGCTGCCTGCTAGCTCCAGCCGTTCAAACCACCGTGGCAACGTAGTCTGCACGACCGTTGGACGGTGACTGAAGATCACGTGACACAAAGATTTAGGCCTGATGGCATCGAGCACCAGGTCCTTTGAAACAAGGTGTGGCAAAGGGACGGTAGCAGACGCTTCTGGAGAGCCGCGCCCGCACCGGCCAGCGTTGTGAGGCGGAATATGCGTGCCCGTGGAAGTGCAAGTGTTGATCTGTGCATCTCCTGCAGGATGTGCGCGCCTAAACAGTAGGCGTAATCTTCTTGTGTACTTGGGGCCCCACACCTCGAGCCTTCTCAGTAAGGTGCATCCACATAAGAGCCGACACATCCTCTCGCGTGTATGTGGGCTCGCGCGTGAGATAGAGCGGACCGCACTTCGAAATTCGTGTCTTGGTGCTAACTATACAAGCGCGGGTGCGGCGTACAGGACCTCGCAGCGACGACTGTAGTATAATCATTCGATTTGGGCGCGATGTATGCGTAGCCGGGGAGCGAGATGCTGGGAGCACAACGCTGGCGTGCACCGGACCGTGTCGCTGACGTCATCTGTGCAGCTGCCTACGCCGTTGGTGTTGACAGATCCCGCAGCTTCCGGAACGAAGCCTGAAGAGCGCCTACAAGACAGATTACGCATGTTCTACTCGACCTCTATGCAGACCGCATAACGGGGACCTGATACTCTCCATGCAATTTCAATCGACGCAGAAAAGTCCCACAGTCCCTTAAGCATTCACGCTGCTATGCTACAAGAAAACACGTGCCTGCACCCTTCATTCCCAGCGTGCACTCTGATGTAGTTTCTGCCATGCAAGAGCGGCAGTGGACGAATGGCATCCGAGGCAGCTGCGATTCTGTTGACCTGGTGTTGCGTTTCTCAAAGTACGTCAGGAGTCTCATTTAACACACACGTACACGCGCTCTGCGTGTCGTGGGAAGAAGGAATGTGATGAGCCAGCAACCGCTGCTGAGCACAGAATCTCTGGTGACTGTGGCGTTGTAAGGGGTAGGCAGTCGCGCTTCAAAACTGCTAACCGTGTTCTGGGCGTGCTCACGGAGGGGCACGCCAAAATCTCAAGCGACTTCTACTACTCGGATGAATACGGTAGCGTGCGCTCACGGGGCACATTCAGCTCACGAGGTTGCTCTTGCAGGGTACCTGTGAAGTAGCGCGGCATTTACTCGATGGTTGGGTACGCAGAGAAAGAAACATTCTACAAAAAGTGATGGGTTGTGGCAAGCGCGGAACTCAGTGGTCAGCCATTACAGGAGGATTCGAGCTGATGACCGAAGGGAAACGCAGCGACTGGACACTGAGGGCGACGTGCGTGCTGACGCCTGCCTCATACACGCAGGCCTGGAGTATTCAGCTACTCGATCCGCCGCTGCAGATGCAGCTCTGCTGCAGCGTTGGCGCTTCTGTGCTCCGGACCTCGCGTCCCGCCATTGCAACACAGCTGCGCGCTTGCACATGTGCGGTATATTTAGGAGGTCCAGCACCTTTATCGGTCTTCGTAGGCTCCTGCGCAGCTGGGGTACTATTGGCGAGAACATTCCTGCACACGTACTTCTTTACCCCGAGACACCTGCATTATCGCCCGCTGAAGGCCGCCCGCATTGGGTGCCACCTCGGTGCTCCAAATTGCTGTCGCCTCTCTCCAACACTACCCAACACATTCATGAGCACGTCGACGGGGGCTCCAAATTGCTCCCGCCTCTCTTCAACGTTACTCAACATATCCATGAGCACGTCGTCAGGCGCTCGCCCTCCCTCTCGCCCTCCAAATGCTGTGACATTCATGCGGTGCCCGCGAACAGCACCCTTCACTTCTCTCTGTCTCACCGTGAACACACATTTGGAGACATATACGCTGTGAGGTTTCTCTCTCGGATCCTATCACCGCGCATTCGCACCCTGTTACACATGTGCCCCTGATAGTACCTAGTGGTGAGCGGGCTCACGGCGGCGCACGCTGCCGGTGTAAAAGATTCGTGCTAGATACGCCGTGCGCTAAAAGAAATCCGACTCCTTGTAGAAGACAGTCGCATATGCAAGCGAAATCACAGCAAATCACGTATGCCGTTATGTGGACTTTCTGTGCGGTGTGGTGTAACGTTCTGTTTGATTTCACATCGACTACTAACGGACAACCCACTGGAATCCAGGCACTGAGAGGCCGCCGCTGATATAGGTACGGCTTGGCTATTGCAGGGATGTCCAGTCGTTAACTGCGGCGCGGATGCGTCTTCGCCAGTGTATAGACGATATACAGACACATTATGGTTGCTTCCACCAGGAAGCAGCACACACACAGCAAACAGTACAGGGCGCGACAGAAAGAAGAGATGATAGTGACTGCGTGTGACCGTGGTGAGTTGACGCAATCTAGCGTTGGCGCCGCGAAATGTCGAAGCACATGGGGAGCTGCTCATAGAGAAGAAAAAGACGTGCCCCTCCACTGGCCACCGCAGCACCTCTCACGACCGAAAAAGGAACCGCGGTATTTCAGCGGTGCCTCCTCTCCGAACGCAGCGTGGGGATGACGCTGGCGCCATTAGGCGTGCTGCGTTCGCCCACTGTCGCCTTCAGCGAGCCGTCTGGTACACAGGAGGCCCGTTCACTTCCCCGTGTACGAATCCTTCCTTCGTGGCATTACCGATCGAGCGGTCGTGCCCCCTGCCAACAGTGACGACCCCCAGGTCAGCAGGAGGTTTACCAATTCCCCATGGCGGACACGAGCGCTGCCCGTTGCGAATAATCGCAGCGTCCATGCCGAGGACGAGGCCCACCGAGCAACGCTATTCGCAGCGTGCTGCTTCCGTATTCGAATTCTGAGACACACAGCGTTGCCCGCCCTTGCACTGCGTGTGGTTCTGTGACCATAGACATGCCTGCGGCTTTCTGAAGACGTACCCCCGCCCGGATATTTCACACATGTTGTATCATATACTGGCTTGCTACACCTTACGACGAGCCTCTGTTTTTGTAGTGAGCACGCGTGCTGCCCTCGCTAGGAGAGGCCGCATGCGTGTGGCAGCCAGGCCCCCTGGTGCGTAGGGGGGTGCTCCCGGTGCCCCGGATTCGCGCAATGCTACCTCAAGCCTCCGCGTGCCCGACAGCCTCGAAGTCCTCAGAACACATCAATGCATGCAGGCGCCTCAGGAGCTACTTTCGCTGCTAGGCGTCCTTCTGCTGTCACTGTCGGCCCAGCGTTGCCGTACTTGCTGACTGTTCCGCCGCGAAATCTGAAGGTGTAGTATTCGTTTTGTTTTCCTAATACTGTACGTTACTCGTCTAACGCTGCTAGGTCTTGCTAAATCTGCGCTCCGACCCTCACACTACTGCGCAGCTGAACCTTTTCTTGGACCAAGATGGCGACCGCCGCACCGCCAGCTGACAAAGCGCCAAAACTCAGTTTGAAGGAGGACAGCATTGCAAAGATGCTGATTTGCAAGGTCAGCGAGACGCGGGAAGGCACACAGCAGGAGACACTTTTTGCGGACCAGCGGCCGACGGAGTAGTCTCGGGGGGTCCCTGTCAGCCCGCGGATGTGTACCTCTCCAGTATACAATGGGGGCCTGGTAGTATCCCCAGTAGCATATACTCGGACTCCACAGTGGCATTTGCACGTGTGTAGCTACTACTGAAGAGGAAGGTTTGAGCGAGTACACTCTTTATCATGCGTCCGGTCTTCGCTAAAACGACGGGGATCCAGCCCTCCTTGCAGCGGAAAGGGGGGCCCCGGGAGACACGTTGCGGAACAACTGGCTTTTCCACCCGATCCCGCTAATGCTCAAAATCATACAGCTGGAAAGCACCGGCGCGAATGGCGTGTTACGCGTAACGGTGCTCATTCATCGGCCAACCCGCGTGGCCCAAGGCCTCGCGAAACGGAGACCTGGGGGCGCTGCGTTTTAAGATATATATGTATTTTCACGTGCCTCTCTCTGGCGTGGAGGCCAGCATAACACCAACAGCAAGCCTCGGTGCTGTCAAGTGTACATATGTATATATATGTCTATATTTGAAGATAGATATCTGTACAAATATATGTATATGTGGAGCCAGTTCGGCGGTGGAGAAGCAGAGCCGCTGTCTGTCTGCCCGTGAGCATCCCGCGAACAACGTGTCCCGCCGACACGTATATATATATATATATATATATATATATATATGGGTGTGAACGTGCAGACGATCCTTCACGTACGAGCTACAAACCGAGCATCCATGTAGAGGTGTGTACATCCGACTGTCCGTGTCATCTAGAGCGATAAGTAATTTGCCGGCAGGTAATTTACCCTGTAACGGAACCCATCAGCTGCTGGCCGTCAGTGAGGGTCTCACACACACGCGGGTACCGGAGTTGTATCCCCCAAAGGAGCGTTTCCCTCATTGCTCTTAGCTGGCGCAGGCTTTCTCCTTGCGAGGGCCGCGGTAGAGTATTTCGTGGGCTAATCCCAGCATAAGGTCAGAACTCAAGCGCCTTTGAGCGAGACGCGGCAGCCCGCGTGACAGCGTTGGCACAGTGTAAGTGTGTGGACAAACCAGCCATCTGCGCATCAACTCGTTGAGTGCGGGATGGGAGAACGTGATCTTTGTATGGCGTGGGTTCCCGAAGAGGGCTGCTGATCCGGTGTCGTATGCTAGGATATAGTGCGTACTGCATTCGGAATCAGGCTTTTTCTTGAGCGGTACACGCGCCGCGGGTACGAGAAGCGCAGGAGAGACAATGGAATTGGGGTGTCAGCGGCTTTCTTTGGGAAACTCTTGATACCTTGTGTATCTCGTATACTTCTGTGTCGAACACCGTTTATCAACAGGCATGTTATCTAGTGTATCCATACGTTGGTAGCGGTCGGTTTCGCCGGCTGCTCGGCTCTACAACGTCCTTAGCGAAAATACGTCCTGACAGAGCCTGCATGGGATCTGCCATGTGCAGGAGCACGTAATGCGTGGAACCTCGTTTTCCGTACGTGCGGTGCATAGTGTTCGTAGCAATGCTTCCTCGCTTTCACTTTCGCTCGAGATGCTTCATCATCGCCGTGATTTGTACTATAAGCTTCTGCTGCCTACCTGAGGGCCCTAAAAGGCAGCTGGCTTCTGTGTCCTCCGAGCGACCCTTGCCTCAGGTAGCCTTCTGTATCGACATGAGGGGTCGTCGTCGTATGTCTTATTGACGGCGTATGTGCGAGCAGGCCCACATTGGAACGAAGAATGTGGAACACAAGATGCGGCCGTATGTGTTCAAGAGCACAAGCGAGGGAATCCATCTGATTAACCTAGCGAAGACGTGGGAGAAGATTTTGGTGGCGGCACGCGTGATCGTGGCTATTGAGAATCCAGCCGACGTGCTGGTAATTAGCGCTCGGCCCTACGGCAGCCGCGCAGTGCTCAAGTTCGCACAGTACACAGGCGCACAGGCTATAGCTGGCAGATGGACTCCAGGCATGCTGACCAACCAGATAACGCAGAAATTTGTGGAACCGCGTCTCCTTATCGTCACGGACCCGCGCACAGATGCGCAAGCAGTGCGGGAAAGTGCCTACGCCAACGTGCCCGTCATCGCCCTCTGCGATACTGACTCTCCCCTGGAACACGTCGATATCTGCATCCCTTGCAACAATAAGGTACTCGGCCACAGAAATATAAGCCTCAATCAGCTACCCTGAACAACGGTATTGTTTGTGCGTTTATGTGCGCGTTGGTGCGTGTGTGTTTGTGTGTATGTGAGCGTATACGTGTAAGCCGCGCTGGGGGGAGAAGGCTCATTCATTGATGTGGACTTTTGTCAGTTTGCCCCAGATATGCTCGACTAGAGCGTAAGACAAGAAAACGTACAGGTGTAGTATGCAGGCAAGAGATGACAGACAACCGAGGCAAGGCACATTGTGAGACGAGCGAGACGTCTCTGAGACGATATAAAGAAAAGGAAGCGGCCGGTGCAGAACTGACAGAGCAATACAGGTCGTGTGCATGTCCTGCAGACATACTGGAGCGCACGTCAACGTGCCGATACTTACGTAGGGGTCAGTGCTAATCTCCGAGGTTCCTGCGTGGAAAGGCACAAACGGATTCCAAGACTAGACTTTGTCACTCTACATCAGCTGCAGTTCCGCTGTGGGGACGCTAGACTGTATTGATAGAAAGTGCTCGAGCTCTACAGGGAGCTCAGTTTCGTCGTATATTTTGTGATTTCGAAGGAGGTAGCCCGTACACGCCTCTAAGCATTCGGGTGACGCGCGTGGCGACGTGTGGGCACTGTATCTTTTCCGGGTTCGCATGCAGGCAAGAGGAGGCGTCAGCTCCCTGTGGGTCCGGAGCAGAGACGGCCGTACGCCCTCGGGAGGTGCAGAGTCTCTGTTGCTTAAATGCAGGAACATTTGAACAGTGAATAGTCCGTATTGTTGTCGGCCAGGGGCTCAGCCCACAGTTCCGCAGGACCCAAATCTCGCATTGGCGCCAACGTGAGAGAAGTACGTGTGTGCGCGTAGGTGTGTTTCTACTTTTTTGCATACAGGGGAAGGATTCGATCGCATTGATGTTTTGGTTACTTGCTCGGGAAGTTTTGTATCTGCGAGGAGAACTCCCGTCGCGCAGTGTGCCTTGGGATGTGATGGTAGACATGTTCTTCTGGCGGGACCCGGAGGAATTCGAGCGGAAGGAAAAGCAGGAAGAAGAGGAACTGCCCCCTCATGTGGCTCAGCAGGTACGGACGTACGATCTCACCGGTTTGCTGCATTCGCAGACATTCAAGCACACACTGGACGTCTTCATGTGAGCGTGGCGTGCATGAGATCGCTGGACGCGCTCGCACCGGTGTAGGTGCCCGCCTGCGCAGGTGTTGGGACGAGTACATTTGTAAGGGTGCATAAGTAGAGGTAGTGGGCTGGCTGGGGCTTTCTTGGAAAAGCCAGCTTTGCACCTATGATCAGACATGGACGTCGTCGGGGTGTGTGGGCGAGTTTGAGTCTGTATGCATGTGCACGCGCATGTATAGGTATATACGTATGTATAATGTACGCATTTATATATATGTATATATATATATATATATATATATATATATATGTTTATAAGCGTGCGCTGCATAGTACTTCATATCATCGAGAAACGCCGGCTTCGCACACATACAAGCCTAATCGCAGGTAGAATTTGTCGAACTGGGTGCTCTACGATGATGTGTACTCCGCCTGCCTCGCCGAAGTAATAGCCACATGACCGGCCGTCGCGTGTTGATGCTCGTAGGCCGCGCGGCTGCTGCGCTAGGTGTACGTGTTGAGATCAGCTACTCGTCCCGCGTGACTTTCCGTGGTAGTTGAGGTCGTCGCTGTGTATGCTGAATCAGAGCTTGCGCGTCACTTGTTGCGGAATAGTAAGGCACACAGGTATTTTTTATCTTGTTAGCTACTTCCTGAGATGGAGACTTGGAGCACCGGGGACGTGGTCTGCTCCTATAACTATGCGCAAGACTGCGACAGCAGCTGAGGCTGACTCGGCACGTGGCAGGGTACAGAGTCCTGTGTCGGTCGCGGAGCAGCGAGCACCGATGAAGCTGCCTGGGGGGATTTTCGACACGTGCAGTTGTGCGGCGTAGCACAGCGACGGGTGTCTGCAGAAGCTTCCTTCTTGCGGGTGCGTGCTACATATGGTACGTCTGTGTTCAGGATGTCGGGCAGTGGGGTGCAGACGCAACAGGAGGTGAGTGGAAACAGGGGGGTGCAGACTGGACGGGGCCGGCAGCAGGACCAGGCGGTGAATGGGAGCAACCTGCGCCTGGGGCAGAGGGCGACTGGACAGGTGCACGCGCAGGCGTCGCTGTGGGCGAACCGTGGTAAACAGCTGCAGTATCAGGAAAGATACGAAAAAAGAAAAGGCGGCACTAACAGCAGTCGCCCTTACTCGTGCGGAAGTCTGTCTTCGCTAGCGATATTGGGAGCAGCTGCACATGACGACAGGACCCTGTCTGAGACGAAAAGCCGGCGTGCCGGCAAATACCTCCGGACCTGTAGGGGCGCTCTTTGTGGGTGGGAGATCGAACTGCTCCATGGGATCAGCCGGAGGGCTGCGTGCAGCAGCCCAGATGCGTGGGTGTTGCATGTCTTCACTTGCTGCGGACGACTCCACAGTGCTGAGCTGCGCCTGCGACATGGACCGGATCTAATGTGTCATACTGGGGGCTTCTCTCTGCCGTACGGGCGTTACGGTGTTGACTACGCGCTTTGGTGTGTGTATTATGAGCGTGTGCACGTACATGATCGAGACAGAATAGTGCAGGCGGGGCTTCACGTGAATCATCAACTCGCGGCAGAGCAATGCTAATTCCGTGGGGAGGCGCTGACAGCAACCATCCGATAGCGTAGGGTGGACTATCGCGTTTTCCAACAATGGCGGCTCAGACTGCTCCGGATCCACAGTATGGTTTTTGCCATAGAACGTTCCAGCACGCGTCTGACGTCTCTCTTCGCTCACTGTAGGGCTTCGCTATCGTCCCCCCGGAGACGCCCTTTATCCACGGCTGCTACCGCCAGCACCGCACTAGCAAATGTAAGCGTCCTCGAGGGTGTAGAATGCACGTAAGCTGGAGGTGAACTAAGGTTGCGTGCTTGTCCGCCCACACGCGTGCAGCCGTAACGCGTACGGAACGTAGCGCTGCCGCACACGCCAGGTCCGGTTGCAGACTACTGCGATCCGGGTGACTCCACCCCGACGCGTCCACGCGTAATCGCAGGCTGGATAGGCGGACGGGCACAACTGCGCCTCTTACACTGCATCCATCTGCGCTTCGGCGGCGCGCGCTGGAGAGCTGTGTGCCCGAGAAGACACGTGTTCGTGTTCAAGTAGGCGGACACTACCCTGAGGAGCTCTTTGGCCGGAGAGGCACGAGCTCAGGTTTAAGCAGGCGGACATCGCCCACCGGCGTGCGTATAAAAGGCACTGCAGTGGGAGACACTGTGAAGGCGTGGGTGAGAAAAAGGATACGGAGGTGGCGGAGCAACGGAGGACATTCAGTACACAAACACCTCGTCCACGCGGGCGACCCACGTGAGAGGCGAGGGCGTGAGGACGCACGCGGTGCCGCGGATGTTTGTCCTGTCCTGGACACACAACAGCCGGCTGTGCTCACGTAGCGAAGGAGGACGAGCTAAGGGCACCATCAGTAAAGCGGCCTAGGAGACAGCTCATGCACGGCCATTAATGACGCACTGGAGTCTAGGGGTACCCGCACTACCAGCGGGTGCTTTCTGCGGTGCCCAAATCCATTTAGTAGTTAGTGTACTCAGCAGCATCCACTAAAGAAACTGCAGGATGCTGAGCAGTTTTCAGTGTTGGCGAACCTGCGTCGCCTGCGAACGTGCGCAGCTGCTGCTTCGTTCTAAGTTACGGCGCCGACGAACCCACAGGCGTCGGCGTGCTTAGTCGGCTCGTGTCGCGTGCACTCCTTGCGGTTGTGCGTCGTGCAAAGGTGGACAGCCGAAATGTGCTTCTGTATACCTGCGCGGGGTTTTTCCTGCCGCATTGCGTGCGTCTGATCGTGAGACTTCCTTGCGGAACACTAAGAGCTTGTATACGCGTCAGGGGTGGGACAGCCCGCTGCACACATGGGCGCCTGCTTTATTAAATGGATGACGTGCGCACGATACGAAGTGTATAGGCTGTGACTAACTGAATATGCTCCCGTCGGAACACCGGTATCATCTACGTTTACGGTGGGCTTCTGGTAAGCTGTGCGTTTCCAAGTCCAGAAATACAGTGGGTCGAGTGCTCGCTGCCCAGCGGTCGAACGAGGCCGAGTCACTCCGACGTCATGTAATCTTCGTGAGCAGAGCCTCCATCTATGTAGCGGTAGAAGAAGCCTCACAGTCACCGCGCGAGAGACGGCGGAAGCGGCAGCCAAGGCACAGAAATCCCCGCCATGCGTACAGAACCCACACACCTCGTAGGACGGGGGATTTTCTGAGCATAAGCATTGCTAGTCGAATTGGCGACCCCTGGTAGGACGGAACTGCCGACACTTCGTGGCTGCTAGGAGAGCAGCTGCGGTACAATCGCCGCGTGCAGGCACGTAATTCCTGAGTGCGCAACTTCAAGTGGTGCGTAACGTACTATTCGCGCGCCCGCACCGATCAATCACCCCACTGAGTGCAGCAGCTCTAGCGCGGCTGGGCCAGCTGACTTGCAACTGATCGGAAGCGACTTCTGCGGCGGGTCCTCGATCATCAAGTGGCTTCCATCACGTAGCGTGGAAGGCGACTCCAGACAGGACACCGCTCCTGACCAGAGAAGGGGAAGCAAAGCGCGCATACTTAAGTCCTTTCATTGTACAGCCCTCCGCACTGAACTTGGAATAGTCGCACTTTCTAAGCAGGTATCACTGCTGAAAAGAAGAGCACGCCGCCGCTAGCACAACCCCGCCCCGCTGCTACATGGTGCACCCGCAGGTTACTCGAAAGACATTTTAATCCTACACGAGAGGCCATATGTGCGTAAACGCAGCCTTTTGGCGTCTATAAACAAGAGCATGATACCTTCCCTCTTTGGCCATCGAGATTTAGTCAGTACCAGCCAGCGCGACTCAACTTTCTATGCGCATACGAAGGCGGCCTGCGGAACCGAGTCAGCATATTTTTAGAGCTGACTCTGCTAGGCGCGGCGAAGTACAGGAACAATACAAAGTTTGATCAGCTACGCCCGGTCTGCAAGCGTGAAATTTTGACTGCAAAACGTGGCACCCTTGACCAAAAATGGCTGCCCGGCGTCTCTCACTTTTGACTGCTGTCTGTTGGCTGCTTCTGTGCATGTGCCAAACCCACTGCGGTGAGTAGAGCGAAAAAGCCGCTCGGCACGGACTGGTGTGGAACGTATGTTATAACCAGAAAGACTGGGCATGTCACATGCGTGCGTATGCCGGCCACTCCGACGCCGTCCCCGGACTCACAGCACAACAACAGCGGAACGGGTAACAGGCTTGCATTGCCTGTTCTAAGCCGATAGCTTTGTCTGCCTTTGCTGAGGCATTACTCTTCATCACACAGACGGCTGCACGAGCAACTCTCGCCCTTGCCAGGCACCTTTAGCAGTATGCCCACTGTGCGCTGTTAAAGCCGCGCAAGTGCTGCAGGCGTGCTCTTTACAGCATGCGGTGTAACACGATGCTAGCACAATCAGTGCATATTTTCCCGGAGGCCACCTAAGTGCTCAGTGCTGATTCATACGCGATGAAATTAGCGTGCGTTAATACACGCACTCTGCGCCCCAACGTGCAAACAAGGGCACGTTCGCGTAGAAGTGAACTACTCTCTCAAATGCTGCTGCTGTGATCTGTGCGCAGAAGCGTCGCCTGGGGGAGGTCCTCCTTCGAAAGCGCTCGCGGATATAACTCGCGAACGCAGAGATATCCAGCTATACGGCTCTGCGCTTAAAATGCAGCTGATACTGCAGCCGGGGCCCGCTACTGCCCAGTGCCGCGCTGCTTTCACTTGTTTACCCTTGGATACCTCGCGTTCTCTCGCTATCATCACACTTGTCTGCGCTCCACGGGATCAAGCAAGGTCGTCACCCTACCCTTCAAAAAGTATCTCGTACGCGTCTCCATCATGTCCTTACTACGCGCGCGCTGCTTTATTGCCTGGTAGTGTCTCCCCCTGTAAGTGCTTCGAGCGCTTTACGTGCGCAGGGACGGTGGACCCGTCGCAAAAAGCCGGCGAGACAGGGAGGCGCTATTCAGTGTGTGGACGCCGGCTTTTCAAGGACGTCGTCGCTCCTGCGAAGCAGCGCCACGTGTACGGAGGTCAGCACTATACAGAGAGTCCACCGTCATGTCCACCACAGAACCCTTTTGAGGCCGGTCTGGACCTGGTTCCAGCATCGCCACCACAAAATTTGCTGCCCCTCCGTACGTGCCGCAACGTCTTTCCGAAAAAGAATCCTCTTCCTTCTGATAAGCGCTCACAGGCAAAGCTGTCGGCGCTGACCGAGCTTACACTAGCGCCCGTTGCCAACCTCAGAGAGCTTCTGCAGCTATTCATGGACAAAGAGGACTGGCTGCTCACGGAGGTGTGCAAAGATATTCTTTCTTTCCGATTGGTTCAGATGATGATGCCCAGCGGCCACTAAAAGCGCACCGCAAATCCTGCGAGTGGCTACAGTGGGGCGACGCAGTGGGCACGTACCGCGACAAGCGCCCTTGCGACGTCGCGATATTACCACGCGTCGAGTAAGACGTATGCGTCCACGCTTGCGAGATAGATGCGTCTGCTGCACGCGTGACGTCTCCAACTCCCTAACCCGCCACTCATCAGACTGGGGTTTCACGTCGTCGGCTTGAGCACGTAGGAGCATCTGTCTGCCGACAGCGTTCGCGGGCGTATATGTATGAACATAGTCAGGGTCCCGCGGCGATGTATAAGTTCGTTGGGCAGGCTATGTCTACTTCAGGTTCCAGGCACGCAGGTCAGCCGCACAGCAACGCGACATCCTTGCTCCGTCACCTGATGCCTGGTACGTTGAGGCTGTATTTGATGTGGCGCGCAACCCTGCGAGCGCGCTCTAGGCACCGATGCGGTTGCCAGGTTCCATGTCCACACACAGGCGACGGGTAGACTGTGTAGCGCCGACGATTCGCGTGGTCTCGTGCAATCCGCGCATGACGTAACACACTGCCCGCCAGACCTAGAAGGGCACCAAAGAAACACGGCGCCCCAACAAGTGCCGCCTTTACGAGAGGGACGCGGTTGCTTACTCAGGACACCGACAACAGATCACGCACGGAAGAGATAAACGAGGCTGACGAAGCTTACGCGTGCTAGCTACCCTTTCATCCCATCAGCGGTCCTCTTCATTGACGTATTCCGTTTTCAGATTCTTGAAGGACGGAACAGGAACATGCTTGACAAGAGTATAAAACTTCTCTTTGCTGTCTTCATCTTCATTCCGCCGCCGTGAGATCCGTACGCGAACGCGACGTGGAATATTCCGAATACCAGCGGACCAGATGAATTTGTTCAGCTTTGTATCGATCCGAACGTCCTGCATATGCATACTCAGGCACAGCGTCTGCGCTCACTTGCAGGACACTTTTCCTTACAATACCGCGGCTCAAGCGTACCCCATGTGTATGCGTAAGGGTGACTCAGCGCAAATCAATAAGCAATACTCGTGCGCGCTTCACTGCTCTCGTTCAAGTACTGCAGAAGACGTCTGTTGCACACGCTCACGCTTCCAGGAACCGCCCCGGACATACATGGCGTAGGCAAGTACGTGAAGGCACTCAACATGAGAAAAAGGCGCACCTCGGCTTTTTTAACAGCTAGCAAGGAAACATTAGATGGCGGACCCTGCGTGAGCGCGCTCAGCAGTGCTCTTGGAGAAACTCAAACCTCTTAAGTACTATTCCAGTGAGTGCCTCATAGCACACATGAAAAGCCAACGCGGGACCACCACACGATCATCAGTATCACACACACAGCTTTACTACAGGACAGTAGGCCGTGTCAGGTGTATGCCTGGAAAGGAAGCGGCTGCACGCTTCCCCGTCAGGGAGGCAAAGAAGCCACAAGCGAAATTACACAAACCGTACTTCAGCGCGGATGACGAAGGGCACGCCCCAACGCCTGTCGTACTCCCGTAGCCCACGTTGTGCGTCAACCCCACCACTGCATCGATTACTCGTTACCATGGGCACGATTAATCCGTCGAAACAAACACGGAATATGAGTGCGGAAGCTTTGCCTACCTTTGTTTGCATTGTCTTCTCTGCAAACCGCCGAATCTCCCGTAGTGCACGAGGTGCTCGCTTTTTGAACTGGATGCCGTGTACCAGTTTATGCAAGTGCAGTGTGTAGTCCCTGCAGACGGGCTGCACCGACTTGGTCTGCGCCTTCCTGCTAGACCCTGCACGCGCATATGAAGCCGCAAGGACCCAAAGGCCATGAATAGTGCTGCGTCATCAATACGCCCACAGCTGCGTAGCTTTAGCGTCCAGAGTCACTGTGGTCGCGTGTACATTGCGAAGCGAACGCGGGTAGCCTGCGCCCCGCACTACCAGCTTTGTGATCTATCCCCCACCCTTCTTTCTGTCTTGTGCTGCAATTTCGAAGAATAGTAGAAGTGCTACAGCACTGGACATACGCTGGTGTCACCCGGGATGAAAAGTTCATGCAATGTCCACACTGAATACGGCGGGGACTTGATCGTCCAGGCGCCTCGGTGCCTGAGTTCATCTACCGCCGCCATGCAGTACTTCGGCAGGGTGACACTAGACGTGCGTTTGGATCCTCTTACAAGTAACGCCGAGAGGCAAAGCATTTGAGCTGTTCTACGGATGCGCAGGCACCATAAGGCGCCAAACTGACTGCTCAGTGGAGTGCCACATTGTTTCGACGAGCCACCACGTCACTTTTTCTATCTAAGAGCAGACCTCGCTCGGTGACCTGTAGTCGCCGCGCTAGTAACAAGGCGACCTGCACTATCGACTCAGATCGACTGTTGTGGTATACTATCTTTCAGGAGATTACTCCACAGCTCTCAGATTAGCTCCACTTCGCGCAGGTACAGACTGTCCAAAAAGTACGCCCAGCTGACATGTGCCAAAACGTGCGTGCTATGCGTTTTTCTACCATCTGACAGCCTATATATTCGTTCTCCCTCGCTCATAGGTGGCAGTGTACTTGTTCCGTAACGACTCCTTCGAAGGCCACGTTGTGAGGTCCACAGCGCCTATAACTCACGCGTGAATACAGCTCATATAGCTATTGCAGCGCATATGATGTTTTCACGTCACTGTGGAACATCGAACAGCAAGCAAGACTTCATGAAGTCTCGCGGAGGCCGCGGATGGGAGCCAGGCGACACCCCCGTTCACCTATGCATTTTACGTGAACAGAGAAGCTGTGACGCGCGGAAGCGTACTGCTACGAACAGGAGAGTACTGGAAAGGCGTGACGCGTCTTCGCGCACCGCACACACAGAACGCAGAAGCTATTCGTGTGTCCATAAAAAAATTTGTATAACCCCATGTACTAGTATATACATTTGTAAATTTTAGGTCTAAGCTTGTCCCCGGCCTGAACGTAAAGACGCTGCACGTCCAGACCGCTCCACTGATCTGAACAGTCGTGAGCGGGGAAGAAAGGTGTGCGTTGTCAGAAGCGGGAAAAAGGACATCTTCTACGTAAACGCCGGTCCTGTACTCATTACACACTGGATGCCCGGGGAGCATCGGTCGGCGCGTGCACGCGCCCGGTAGAGGGCCCCCACAACAAGGCCAAAGACCGGCTCCTCTTCTTAGAATTTCCCCGTAGATCTTCTCCGACTGCGACTCTGTCAAATACAGTGGTGAATACGTTTGTACCGCCATTTTTCGGTGGATGTGACACAACTATGGCGCGCCTTAACTTTCATGGTTACTCGTGGGGTTGCCGAGGGGAAGCTTCTTGCACTAACAAGTCCAAAGGTAGCCTACCTGCCTCTGTCGTAAACGCAGAAGCTCTCAAATTCTGCATTCAATGAATTTTCGGGGGATGTGACATAGCTATGGCGCACCTTACCTTTCATGGTTACTGGTGGGGTTGCCGAGGGAAAGCTTCTTGCACTAACAAGTCCAAAGGTAGCCTACCAGCCTCTGTCCTAAACGTAGAAGCTTTTAAATTCTGCATTCAGTTAGGAGGTTCGTAGATGCGACCCCCCCCAAAGGGCCAATCCGGGGCGTTTCATACGGGCGCCATCAACCGCGAACGTGACTGCATGCAATGGCCAGTAAGCGCAGGGGACGCGTAGCCCGTACTCCCCAAGGCACACCCCGTACGCTGCGCTAGCTCAACTGCAGGGCAGTCGCTTGGGCACACGATGACGTAAGACAAAACAAACACGTCGCGAGTGTACAGCATTCGACTTTTTCTCGGGGAAAAGTGGGACGTGCGTCCTTGCTGTCGTTTGAGGCAGCCGCTACATGCCTTTGTAAGAGGCGGCCACGATGAACTTGAGCATCCGTCCCTGTTTGATTCGGAGAGCGGATGCGTCAAGGCAGGCAGAAGCTCTGCAGGCAGTAACGAAGACTTCCTTCTGCGTTATCTTGAGAAGAGCACCTCTGTGAGAGGGACTGGTTAACGCATCCAGTTACCGCAGGAGGTATAAGCGGATCGCTTTACACGCGTATGTAGGAGGCGAAGCATGTGCAAGAACGTGACGTAAAGCAGGGGGCCGCTCTCCACTTTCTTGTGCACGCGCAGAAGCTGGCCGCCCACACATCGCGTAGACATCTGCCGTACAACTCCGTTGGACGAAGGTCCCCTCTTGTGACGACGTGTTCTCTAGGAGCCGCGGCGGAATGCGGACGCCGGACAGTAGGAAGTGACCACGCGATGGGGCGATGGGGTCGAGAGCATCTGCAAATGCTTTCGATTCCTAATTATAGCGTCTCAGCGCGGTGGTGCTGCGCCTCTCATAAAGTAACAGAAGTGTATAGGGTGCGTGTCAGATACCGGCTGCCGCCCCCTTTGACTTCAAGCGCTACTTGACACTGCTACTTGCTGCTTGGGCGGATCACGCTTCATGTCGCCTTCTCAGGTTTGCCGTTGGCTCACGCTTGCGTATCGTGCCCTTGTCGCAGTTTCTACAGCTATACACGAAACAGCGGTCCCATGAAAAGTACGCCGTTCACACGGCCGTTTCAGGAGACACAAATATTGCTGTGGTGCCCGTGTGGAATGCCTTGCATGTTGGGGCGAGCAAACTCTCTGTTGGGAGCCCCACGGCGTTGATACTTCACGCCCGTGCGTGTGCTTCTTTAACGGGTTGCCGTCCTTCTCTACTATCAAATGAACATCGATGTATTGCGGCGCCCTCGTTATCATAGCAGCCCTGCCGACACGCACGTTGCCCTCACTGTGCGCGCCTGGTGTAGAACCACCTGTTGCCTGGACACAAGACCATACCTGACCCCTCATAAGAATAGCCTGGCATTGCACAAGCCACGCTTTCATATTTTACGCTGGCACCGTGGGATGTGGTTCCTAAGTAGCACAGTTGCTGGTCCCTCAAACACATACACGTTTTAAACTGACAGTAAACACGCGTACAGGGCAGGACGTGTCAACACAGGCCAGAGCCTTTCACTGCTGTATGCGTTCGGCAGCACAACGTACAAAAGCGCCGACGCGTTCGGGAGAGAAGCAAAGCTTTGAGCGAGACAAGGGCCTGCGCACGCAGGAGCCAGCGCACATGGTCGAAGTCAAGCGCGATGGGTTATACAGCTGTCTACACTGCAGCAGTCCTGTTCCGCTGTACTCGTGTACGTATGCAAGATCGCGCTGAGTTTGCGGTCCCAGCATTTTGAGGCTTGCGCAGCATCCTGTTCCGCGCTAAATGTTTTACAGACAGACTCCGACAAGGGACCTTCAGACGCGTCAGCAAACATCACCGTAAGCCGGTGGTGTTGTTCTCTGGCATAGTAAGGAATAGCGGGGCCACGCGTACTTCACTTGCTGACAGGTAAGTGAAGCGCCACAGCTTTCGTCTCGTGCGCGCTGAACCACACGACTCAGGTCTCTTGTTCTCTTGTATCGGTAGAACACACTGCACATGTTTAACGACAGCATGTCTTCGTGGCAGTTCGCCAGTAGGCGACCTTTAGCTCCTAGACGCTGTCGACCGCCGGAGGCGGTACGCATGGAAGGCAGAAAGCTGTAGTGTCGCTGAATATGCGTTCAAATGTACCGGGCTGGCTCTGATGTGGTTGCTTTGTTCTTGCGGCCCCTTGCCTCTCCACCCCTTACCGCCCCACGTGGTTTTGTCAGCTGCTTCTTACGCTTCTAGATGCCATCAGCACAAACATTTGGGGCTCGATTTACTTTATTCGCTGAAGGGAGCTCCGACTGCAGCAATTAACGTTCCTGCGCATGCTCACCCCGGCTTACCTCAAGCTGGCATTCGCTGCTCCTAAATCAGTACGCCAGGAGTACCTGCAGGGTCGCGGCGGCACGAAGGTTACCAGCTGCCTGCCCGGTAATGGAAAGTTTAATGTGGTCTTTACTAACGTGTTCGACATTGTGCATAGCAGTTCTCAACATACGAATGCGCTACGGCAGCGTCTTCGTCACACATCCTTGAGGCAGATAGTCTAATTATACCATGTAGAACTCCGCTTTCGACCGTGATGTGCAGTGTGCACCCGGCCGCATCCTGTAATGCTGTGCTCCCCGATGATGCAGAAGAGGCCCGATTTCGGAGCCAGTTCGCGTTAATGGCGGGAGCGGGCTTATGTGTGACAGAGGAGAGGCAGCTCACCTCAGTCAGTAATCCTATGTTAAGTAGGACTACCTTGGAGCGTACGTGCAGGTGGAAAAGCGTAGAATCGATGCCCTAAGTGCCCTGCACGGAGCCGCACTCCTGTAGCCCATATGGCTCGTTTGAAGGAGGCTGACGTTTCGAAGATCGCGCTGGTAGTGTCTGGAAAAGTGAATGCGCAACTCCCGACCCTGTTCTAGAGTGGCTGGGGCTCACCCGCGGGCTGCGAGTCTTGATGACGCGGATGTTCTCCTGCTTATGCATGAGAGACAAGGCCGCGTGCGTCAGCATCCTGTTGCAACTCGGCATACGCGGATATGCAGTGAGACACGATTAGGTAGCCGGTCAGCGGGCCACGCCACCGGAGTGGCGAAAGATTATTCCTGTCCATCCGCTTGATAGCCAGCACAAGCGGGTAACCGGCAGGCCCTTGCGCGTCGGACGTGCTATGCTGCCCGGTGGCTTGACATGATACTGTGCTCGCTCCCAACTACCATGCTATACGCTCGAAATTCTTACCAGCATCGTGTGCGGCGCTGCAAGGTGGTCTTCCTTACCAGTGGCCTTCCGCGCGTGTTGACCGACCGCCCACAAGCGCCTTCAGTACGCTAATGGGTAAAACCAGCAGGAAGCCGAGACGGGACCCATTATCTCTCGAGTACACATTAGATTGCCTTCGCTAAGCGACTAATGAGTGTCTTTGCGACTCCTTTTGTGAAAGTGTACTCGTATATTCTCCCACAGAGGCGGCGGAGGGCCGCAGATACCCCAGTGGCATTGTATAAAGCTCTGCTAAGTGTGGTTGGAAATCTACTTCTCCCCGTTGCTGTTTTCTTCCCCACTCTTCCGACGTTGAGGTCGTAGCAAGCTTCCTACAGTGCTTCCCCCCCGCACACTGGCATTAACCGCAAAGCTGCAGCTGGGCGGGGCGCGTTTGCGAGGCCGTCCGACGGCGCACCCGATTACGCGAGCGGCCGACGCCGATGACTCTAAGCGTTAGCGAGACACGCTGAGCCACACAGGCCCTGACTTCTCACGTAGTGCTTCCGCAGCGGTCCCGGCAGTGTGGAGAGCACGTGCGACACGTACCAAATGTTCGGCTCGTTCGCCATCCGGAATTGACTGGCTACCGCCTGACAGCGTATGTGGCCTACTAGCGCGGTTGCTACAGGACTGCGTAGCTCTCCTAACGAAGCTCCAGCTCTCCACGGGCCAGAAAGCACAGTATCACTAATTTCGAGGGGGATGCGAAAGCGCCCTGGAGGTGAGCAGACAGCAAGCGAAAAAAGACAATACTGAGCTCTCCAACTGTCCCTCGTAGGCACATCCTTGTTGCTGCACGCGCGCATGGCGGCCGTCCCACCGTCCTCCCTTGGCCGTCCCTGCCGACCTGCTGCTAGTGTACGTTATGCGCGTTCGTCGTTTCGGTTAGTCTCTTAGTCTTCTTTTTCTTTGGAACAATGGTTTTGTGGGTTTGGCGGTCGCGTGGTTGTTTTCACAACAGGGCATATAAGCTCTCCTGCTAGCAGGCAACATGCGGACTAGCTACGCGCGCTGCAGCCCGCCAGGCGTGCAATACCCAGTCGCGACACCAATGCCCCTACGCTTCATCCATATATACGCACGGGCGCTGGGGCTGCCGAGGCTGCATCGGCGCCGGGGACTGCTAGTAAACCATTGCCGCTGTCGGAGTTTCGCTAGTGAGTACCCGTGGTGCCGCTACACGTCTGTCACGCATTCCTTAAGAGTCGTTCGCGACGGTGGCGACCGATGTCTTTTCGCCGGTCCTCACTCGGAAAGAGATGACAGGGGCGCTGTCCCCGTTCTCCGCCACACTATTCGTCTAAGACAGATCCACTTGGACATTATAGCCTTCGTGTGTTTCGTCATACAGATGTCTTGTTTATTCTGCTACGCATTTGTCCGTGGCAACCGCATCAATCGATTTATCCCAGCCTCTGCCCGGCGTTGCTGCGCTTCTTCCCTGTCTTACAAGCTGTATGCGCCTCGTTTTCCCGTGCTTTCACTTGCTTTCACTATTGAAACGGACGGCAAAGAAAGCAACCGTCAGGCTGCATCCCTGTCTTGCGCAAGAGAAGACAGCGACGCTTGCGTGCCAAGATAGGCTTCGGTAGTTACGTGTCTACGCGGGATCGTTAGGCAGCCGGACCGCACATGTACATGTGTGTGCAACCAAGTGCATCTGCACGACACATGTCCGCACGTTAGAATTCAGACGACTACGCTCAAGTAAATGAAGATCCACGCAGTACGGCAAGAGACAGAGGAGCCGCTGCTGCAGACGCGCTGCACATGTATACAGTACCCCACCGAAGCTGAGGTTTCAGCCTAATCTCAGTCTCCGCGTAGGCTACGTGACGGACGCATGAACGCGTGGCCCGCATCATGCGGCACGTGCACGCCGGTTTGTATGTGCATTAATTAAAACAGTGAAGCACAGGCGTGGAGGCCTAAGACGCCGCCCTACAGTGCAGCTGTGTTCCGTTGGAGGGAGGCATGCGTAAGCAGGTGCCCGAGAGCGCGTATGATAGCTTTCAGCCTCGTACAATCTTCTAAGGTGGCTGGCAGAGCTGTGTACATTGTGCGCTCCACGCTACTGACCTTACAATACTGTACTTACGACGGAAGCCCGCAAACGTCGTTTAGGATCCGGCGAAAGGCAGCCTCCACATTTATTCTTATTTACAATGGCATGGCGGCCAGCCCTCATAAATGCAGGCGCACAGACCTCTACGCAAGGTAAAGATATTGATGCCATGACACCGCTGCTGAATTCTCAGTCGACACCGCGTGCACATCGATAACCATGACGTGGGCAGAACGGTGACTCTCACCGAGCACGCTACAGTAGAAAACTGCGCGAAATGCCTGCAGCTGAGGCAGTTGTTGTGCTACTGCATGTGACAGCCACCCGAAGACCCCGGGGCTACAGCCCACTCACCGTATCACAGCAGCAGCTCCAACATGGGTTCATCCACTGAGGAGTATGGCAATCAGCAAACCACTTTTGACAATCTGAGACTGCTTACGCCCACCGTGCATTAAAAGGTAGTCCTCTTGCAGCAGAAGGAGGCTCACAGACCTTTCTGCGCGAATAGGTGCGTTGGTCTTGTCACCCGAGGATGTACAAGCAGACAGATTTTGGTCACCGTAGGCGAGAAAGCTAATACTGAGATATGCTGTGAGCAAGATGCACAGTTGACCGGTCCTTAACGACAGCGTTTCTTCTCAGCTTCGCAAAGAAGCTCCTGCCTCAGTTCCCGTGTCAATGCTGCTTTTCCCTGTACGACGCCAACATGCTGGCTATCGTGTTGTCCCCAGCTGTACCGTGTGCATTCTGCCCATCGCTGCGTCGAGCTGAACTATATAAATGCACTGCTGTGGTCCACACAGCCCCACGGGCCGGGGCATTGGCTCGTGCGCACCACCAAATTTCCGTGTTGGGCGACTGCGGGGAGCGCCTACCTGAGCGCTCCTCTACCGTTTACACGTGAGGTATACGCGTCTACTTCGGCGCAGACACCACCCAGAGCGACGTGAAGGTACAATACACGCCGGAGCCTTCTGTCTCCAGCTGCGTAGAAATCTCTTTTTTCCTCTGGACTCTTGAGCTCCTGTGCAAGATGAAGCTCTGCCATGTTCCATTGCTTCTTTTTATTCTCTTTTCTCAACGAGAGGCTGCGCCCTGCTATTTATGGCGCTGACGCACAGTAATACGGCGATACACAGTTTCCCGGACAAGGCACGAGTCTCTGCTGGTTCCCTGTTGCGGCATAAATGTCCCTCTGCCCTCTGTTTCATGAGCGCTGCGGTGCACTGCTGTATTCCAACGTCCATCCTGAGCTGTAAGCGTCAAGCGCGCACGCGTGTGCTGATGCGCACTCAGTGGAACACCCAGAAAACTTTTCCACTTTTGTTAAATGAATTCTGCTCATTCTGGATTAATTCCACGCAGCCACTTCTACTCTCCGTCACGTCCCACATCCTCAATACACCTTCGCCTTCTTCATGTCCCCTCTCCTGATGTAAGGCTTGTCCCTGTTTCGCTTCAACAGGGCCTCCGCATCCCCTCTCGCTGTCTCCCGTTGGTTTCCCATAGCGGCGCGTGCTTCATACCAGCGTTCGACAGTGTCTACTGCTTAGAAGGCACAGGGTAGCCGAAGCTCAAGATGTTTTGTTGCGACTGGAGGTATAGCAGCCGCCGCGACAGTCGTGATGACTGTCGTTGGTGCCGTCTGTACGGCTTGGCGTGGTGGACGGCGTTGCTTCTGGCGGCTGCATCTCTGCTGGTCACGTTATATGGGGAACGTCACTACGCCGAGGAAATACAAGCCTTACAGCCTCTCCTCAAGGATTACACACCTTCGCCGTGTTCGCCACTTCCGCAGAACGACGGCAAGCTCATCCACATAGACTGCCCCATTACGGCGATGGACCTCTTCTACCCCCCTGCTGCCTTTGCCCCGAACCTCTCCCAGTTCAGTGGCATTTTCTTCGAAATACGGGTGGAGATGTTTCAGCACGTTCATAAAATAGGCGCAGTGGGGCCTTACTTTTTCGCACAGTGGGCTGATCACCTGGTAAGCCGATGGTGACAACAGAGGTAGGTGTATGTGCGCGGACGCAGCTCATTAGCACTTGCATCGCTGCTCCCTTTGATGTTGCAGTGAGGCCCACAGTCAGACCCGATTCCCTAGGCCGCCCCATGCCCGTAAGACGACGCAGCACCAAAGTTACGCGGCCTTACGCTTGTAGGACGTCAAGAGCACTGCCTCGTATGTGGAAGGCGGTCACGCTCTACTCCAGCAGCGTGCAAGACGCGCATCTGCTGGTTTCCATGGTGTGCTGACGTCGTAGACATGCGCAGCCATTCAGAAAGAGACAGCCATCAGCAGCGACGACCTACACGTTTGGCGAGTGAGCGAGTGATACTGTTACGACGCCTGCATATTTGGCGCTGCCACTTGAGATTTTGGCATTAAGACGAGTAACTCTGACGGGGGTTTTGAGCAAATTGCTGAATTATGAGCGTGTGTCATTCGCGGCAAGTTTCGACCACCTCGCTTCTCGTCGTCTCCGCAAAAGTAGATCCACGCAACACAAGTAATACGTCGCTTGTGTGACGGACAGTAGCCACTAACCACAGCAGGACTCGTTCGTGTACCGCAGGCTGTACCAGAAAGGTCTTCCTCAACACTGAGAAGTCTTCTGACGCTAACCTTGTAAGACGCTGTAGCGCGCTGAGGTATGCAGTCCTCGGGCGTCACGTAGACCGTGGCGTGCGGATGCATAAGCGGCGTGCCTCGCCCGTGGGCACCCTAGCACCTTTCCACCGTCGCAGAACACAAGCAGTAGCACGTTTCCATGCAAACGCTACACTGCGCCTTGGCTGTGACACCGACATGGCGATGAGGCGGCCTGGACGAGAAAGTGCAGTGACAATTCTTCGGTGCACTGGTGCAAACACTCTCGTGTGTAGACGTTCTGTTCGACCTCGACGTGAAGGAAGCTGCTATGCTGCAGTTTCTCGTGAATGGTAACGCAGACCCGCTGAATGTCGCATGCAAGGGCAGCCGCCGAACAAAGAGACGGTTTCATCTACAGACCCGGCCTTTTCTTCACGCCTCCACCGCTCTTTTCAAGGCTCTAATACTCACGCTGACGACTGCGGTGTGCACACGCTTTGTTCGGCTCGTTGCCGACTACGTACTGATTAAAGGAAAGCTCACGAGACATGCACAGTTGCGACCCGACGTAAAGTAGGTCTCTCGATTGCGATTACGCTCTACGAATGATGATCCATGCCTGCCGCTGAGTTGCGTACGGTCCCTCAAGTTGTTACTGTAGAAGCGTGCACATGTTTGTTCCTTTCTTGACCATATTCCAGCGCAGTGCAGGCGACCGTATTGCGTGCCGTTTCGAAGCGCCTCGTCGTAGGATTTGACTTTTTGTTTTGCTTTTAGGTAGATCTTTCAAGCATCCCCCGTTTGCTGCTCGGCACATCACAAAATCCCGACTTCTTCCCCGTCGTGCCGGGACGAGGACGCACAGTAAGCATCCGGCACCTACGGTTATCTCGTGGGCTGGAGTACAGTACTGCGGCGGGTTACCTACTTAGAAACAGAGATGTGCATCTGCAGGCCACTCCTTCGTTTGCAGAGTGCAAGCACATGCGAGTGTTCGTCAGCGATTTATTTCACTGTGTGTCTGCCATGCTCACCAACTGCTATGCAAGCAAACGTGAAGCTTATTTCTGAAAAGTACACATTGTGACCAGAACGAGCTGACACAAGAGTTCTTACATGGAGTATGCTGTCAGAGCCTGACTTCTTACGCAACGCTGACGAAACGTACAGCGGTGCAAGATGTATCCAGCAATTGAGGCCGCAGTGCGCGCGGAGGTCCTTCAGCAGGAACGCAGCTCTCTGGAAGGCGCCATATGCAGAAGCAGTAATGATACTTTCGGATGCCTGCAGTATTCATCATTTTGACGACAAGTATTATGAAAGAGGGCCGCCAGCGCAGCAGCCATTTCTGCTGGCGCTCCTTGGTGTCGTGCCTTCATTGCGTTGCGTTCGACCCTACCGTCCTTTTCGTGGATGCCACCCTTTCAAAGAGGCGCATAATCCAGAAATACCGCAGGCTGCTCCCAACTCCACCTCGTGACTACCCGTCCAATGTGTGTGTTCTCTATGTAGTTCGCCACTTCCCTAAAGGCTGGAGGATTTGCCCTTCCCGCCCTTCTACTGACGAAGTTCAGAAAGAAGCAGCTGCTTCAGCTTGTCGACGACGGCTACTACACTCCCTCCGAAACGCGGCCTCCCGCAACCGTGGATTACAAAAATACGATAGTGAAGGACAATGCGTTATATACTGGAGATCCTGACAATCCGCAGATCGGAGACCTTCGCGTGACGTTCTGGGGGAGCGCGGCAACCCATATAAGTTTAATAGGTTTGCAAGTGGCGCCCATTCTCGGGCAGGAAAGGTTCATCGTAGAGTTCGAGTCTGGTTTGCTGGAGGTATGCACAGCAGAAACACTGCTGACGGCGCACACGAAAGGTCATGTGGCCTGTGTTCAAATGTGCTGCTTATGCAATGAGTGCCTGGCACCTGTACCAGTCAAACGTCCCAACGTAGGTCGGAGCGGAGTGTTGAGCTAGTTTGGTGACGCCAGAGCACTGCAGCACGGAGTCTGTAACTAGGGTGTCCCTTGCCGGGGTTCCAGCAGTTAGGTCCTGTAAGAGGCTAACACTGGCACGCGGTCGGATTCCCCTCGATGCACATACGCGCCCGCGTTCTATGCACCTTCCTTTTCCCGATGCCCTCCCTTTCGGTCCTTGTCCGGCAAGTGGGCCGACGGCAAAGTAAAGGGCATTTTGTAGATCATAGTGACATGCTACCGAAGCACCAAATGCGTCCCCAGAGCCTCTAGCTTCTAATGTATGTTCTGCGCGCTGCCTTTTCCCTGCCTTTATGGATAGGCAAGATTTTGCTTCACAACAGCACTACAGTCTTGGGCTTCGTTAATGGCAGCGTGCCGTGTGCTGCGGCTATGTAACTCGCAGAACGGCTCTGCGGCGATATTTGCGGAGGGAGACTACAGCCCGGAGGACCTGGTGACGGAATATGTTGCGGAGACACACGCTCCCAACCGAGTCACCTGGACGTTAAGGGGCGCTAGTGTTGTCCTCTTGTGGCTCTGGCTCACCTTTACGGCGTTCGCCGGTTGTGAGCAAGAGGTAAAGTATACACAGCCTCCAGCAGCTCATTATGCTTTGTGCACTTTTGTGCGCGTCCAGACCTTTCGTGACTTTGCAGACCTGAAGATGCACACGCATGCAACATGCGGTGGTAGTTCGAGCTGCTGGTATAATTCACTGCGGCACGCATCAGATATGCTTCTGCACCTTTTTTGCCTCCACCATATTTGTGCCCCCTTACTGTAACTCTCTTCGTGCGCGGGCGTGCCGCCGTAAAACCCGTAAACCCCGGCGGTTCCGTCCAGAGTCACTTGCATATTGTTTTTGCTTTCGTAACGCCGAAGTCCCTGGCGCTTTCAAGACAAAAAACAGGTGGGCAGACTCGTCGTAGCCGTATGGTTGTCCGTCACAATTTCATATTGGAGAAGCGCAACATTGTTTCCTAAACGACTGTACGGGCGATACAGTCCGAAGATTGAGTACCTCCACGAACATACTCCGTCCAGTTCAGGCACACTGATCAGAGCGACTATGCCGGGTGAATATCTCCTGTGGTAAAGCTCATCTAGCCACACAAGAACAGCAGCTCTGCGGACGTCGAAAGGGGTACATAACGGCCAGAAAGCGGTGAAAGACGTCAAGGGCAGCGGCTCCTACGAGTCGACCTGCGCATCTAGGGCTGCTTTGGTCGTGCGCATGTCGGTTGTGGTGTGCAGTCCTGCTGCCTGGCCCTGATCAACTGCGCGTTGACGGCAACCGGGGTTGTAGCGGCCGCTTGCGCCGCCGTATGGTGGGCATACGATCTCGTCGTATCAGTCTCCCTCTTCGCGCTCGCAGCCACAGCGGCGTTTCTCATCATTCTTCTATGGTACGTCTCGGGAAATAAGGTTACACACTTCTCGTCTACCATGTGCAGGGTCCAGCCTTGCTAGAGAACCCGCCCGTGTAAAGGTCCATTGGTAAGCCTGCAGTCTCAAGTTGGTGGTAGCGATAACGTTTACTGAATACACAGCTGGTGGGTGAGCGCAGATGTTTGTAGCGCGTTTCTACACCCGGGAGGGAGCGCTAGAGGTTGATTACCCACGCGCCGGTTTCACAGAGTTCGGTGCCGTGAAGAGGAGCAAGAAAAAAAGGCGGCGCATAGTGATGGTCGGGCGCGGTCTCGTACTGAACAAGCTTGCCCTGGTAGACACTTCCAAGCGTTCGTAGCGCGAAGCACAGAACAGCGCAAGAGCGGTGAGTGAAGACCGGAACGACGACAGCGAAGAGACAGTTTGTTAAATTCAGCCGAGTCGGGACACTACTGAATGTCAATACATGCTTGACGGGGATTCTGCACTGGCCAGGCGTGTGCGTCACACTGACTTGTTCTTGTGCGTCCTTTGTACTTGTCGTCCATTTTTTAGGCAGATTTACACGAAGAGGTAGAAAGTTATGCTGCACCGCGGCACAGGGCGTGTCATACGTCCGAACCACGGAAAGTCCGTCTGCTTGCAATGTGCGTGTACGCCATACAAGGAGGGATTAATGTACCGCTGCTCACGAGTACGTGCAGCCCCAGCGCTCCCCACCCACTCCGCGGTGGTCGGCAGGTTCCAAGAAAAGGCATTTTTGTTCCAAACTCCACAGGGCGGCCCCAGCAGTGTACGCATCTTCTTCGCGTTGCAGTGTACAGCCATGATACATACTTCTTGTCCGTGTGTTCTGCTCACCCCCTAGGATGTGGAATTCAAACCAGCTGACAAGGGGAAGTCTGTGGCTTCCTGCTTCGTCTTCGAATTCACCCCAGTCGGCTGTCCCGCCCCCCCTTCGGAGTAACACGGTGGTGTGTAGAGTCACCTGGTCCCCCAGCAAACGCGTTGGACAAGTCTCTGCTCAACAAGCAACGGGAATCGCCAGCTAGTGCCGCGCACCCTGCTCCTCGAGCAGACAGCCTACCGCTGAACAGCGCTGCATCCTTCCAGCTGTAAAGGAGGTGCGCGAGCGACTTGCGTCTCGCCGGTGCATGGCCGGACGTGTAGTAAACAAGCCACGTGCTCCAGGAACGCCGGAGCCATAATGCCACACCATTGCAAATCACCTGATCTCGGACATGATGTAAGGCTGCTGGTGTGCGTTGTACGTTTTTTAGTGGTGGACGGGGTACTTGGGCTCTAGCACACGCTGGGGGCCGAAACGTCGAAGATGCAGCAGAGCAGCGCCAGCTTTATATCACTCAGGCTCGGCCGCGACGCCGGGGGTCTGCCAAAGAAGTACCGGGTTATCGGAAAATTCGGTACTTTTCCCATAGGCCTGCAGAACTGTGAAAGGGGAGCCGCCGAAGCCACAACTGAACTGCGACAGGACCCTTATTCACAGGTGTCACGTTCGCAAACACTGAAATAAACTGGCTTCCTCCTGCCTTTGTTAGGCCAGAGAGAGATGCAAAACAACAGGTCGAAACGTGAGTGGTTGCGCAATAGAGTTGCTGAGTTTGTGCTGTAGCGGGGCGTACGGCATTGCAACACAGCACTTTGCAAGTAAGGTGCGAGTCGTCTGGGGGCTGGACACACGCTTGATGAGTGTGAATCCCCCAAAAGTAAACAGCTAGAGCGGCTCACCGGCTATCAACACACTCTGAACGTTTCTTAAGGACAAAGTGTCGAAGAACAATCTGTTCGTCGCGGTGCAGCGAGACTACATCTCGAAGCTGCTGCCACAGTCACATTTGTATTGTCTGCGGC